CGATATTTACTGGGGGTAGGCTTATTCAAGACAATATTATCATCGTGCACGAGGCACTTCACCATTTCAAAAATCACAAACTAGGGCGTAGAAGAGATATGATGTTGAAGCTGGATATGAAGAAGGCGTATGATATGGTAGACTGGGAATGCTTAGAAACCCTTATAATGAATTATGGGTTTGATAACAAGTGGTGCAACGGGGTCAGTACATGTATCCGCTCGGTTAGGTTCTCTATTCTTTTCATCGGGGAAGCAACAAATTTCTTCAGACCCTCCCGAGGCATCAGACAAGGAGACCCGCTATCACCATTCTTGTTTATTCTCATGTCTAATGCCCTTACTTTCTTGATTGATAAGGTTGTGGCCGAAGACCAGCTTAAGGGGATTAAATTGAACGCCAGATGCCCTGTTCTCACCCATTGTCTTTTTACTGATGATACGATCATTTTTGGAAAGGCAAACCTCCAGGAAGCGCAGAAAATTCTTGATTTGATAGGGAGTATGGAGCGATCACAGGATAAGAAGTGAATATCAGCAAATCTTCTGTTTTCTTCAGTGCTAATGTCTCGGATATGGAAAAAGAGGATATCATTGCCCACATTGGATTTGCTTCATCAAACTGCCACTCGAAATATCTGGGGGTTCCGACGGAGTGGGGTAACTCAAAGAAAGAAACCTTCAATTTCCTAATCCAAAGGATGGAAAAGATGGGGGAAGCTTGGAAGAGTCTCCTGCTTTCTCATGGGGGAAAATAAGTCCTTCACAAAGCCGTTATCCAATCTATTCCATCCTTCATCATGTATCTTTTCCATCTTCCAGTCTCACTTACCAAGAAAATGGACTCCCTTCTCAGTAATTTCTTTTGGTCGGGATCTATGCAAAAGAGTAGCCTTCACTGGTGTAGGAAAGAGATCCTATGTACATCTAAATCGGAAGGGGGATTGGGGTTCCAGTGTTTCAAGGATTTTAACAGGGCACTTTTTGCTAAGCAGGCGTGGCGACTTCTTACGTTCCGTGAGTCCTTGTGGAGTCGTCTTCTTAAGGGTCTTTACTTTCCTAGAAGTGATTTTCTCCAAGCAAAAAAAGGGAGCAGATCCTCATGGATATGGGCAAGCCTCTGAGAAGCAATGAAAGTCATAAATTTGGGAGCGGTAGGTGTCATTGGCTCGGGAGAGGACACTTGGTAGGATCAAGATCCATGGATCCCATCTCTGCAAAATTTTACAATCAAAAGCGGCCCTCAAAACCATGTAAAGGTGAAAGAGTGGATTGATCCATGAGATAGACGCTGGAACTTGGATCTCATCCAGGGCCATGTCTCCAACATGGAAATGGAAGCAATTATGAGGATTCCCATTGGAGAAGAAGATGCTGATGATTTTTGGGCGTGGAATTTCACGAAAGAGGGAAGTTTCTCAGTGAGATCAGCATACCATGCGATTCATCATAATGATACCAATACCCATCCTAATGGGAATGCTGAGAAATGAAATGGATTTGGGGCCTTCACCTTCCTCCAAAGCTCAAATTTTTTATCTGGAGATGCTCAAAGAATGGGTTAGCAACAAAAGAGATAGTTCTCAATTGAAAGTGTGCTCAAAACTCGACATGTCGAGTTTGCCAAAACCCGATTGAATCCCTTTCCCACTGCATTTTCTATTGCCCTCATGCCAATGCAGCGTGGAATGCTATCTTCCCTTCCTTCCCATTACCTCCCCAGGGGACATCCTTCTTGGACTGGTTATGCTCCTTTAAAGATGAATTTTCGCCAAACTCCTTAATCCATATTGTCTTCCTTTGCTGGAACATTTGGAAGGCGAGAAATGAGTGTTGTTTCAAGAATACTGCCCCATGGCCCCCGAATGTGTGTCTGCAAGCCTATAAAGAGCTCTTGGAATGGAGTTCTTATATGAGGCCCCCTACTCACATGTCATCCTCTTCTACCCAGCTCAGGGGAGCCCAGTCTCATACAAATCCACCGCCAAGTAATCATCCTTTGGTGATTCACTGTGATGTGTTGTTCATAAGAGACTCCCAGCCGGCGACATATGGTGTTGTTATTGTTGTTAACCACCATGGACAAGTATGTGATGGGCGAGCTGAGACTCTTCTTTGTTCCACCCCGATTCAAGCAGAAACAAAGGCTCTTCTAGAAGGAGTAAAATTAGCACAAGAATATGGTTCCGAATGTTTGGTCCAGTCTGACTGCCAAGTGCTAGTGAGAGCGTTATCTCAAAATCAAGCAAATTGGCCATGGAGGTGTGTGGCCTGGATTGGCTCTATCGTCATTATTCTCAGGACAAACCCATTCATCAAGGTTAAGGAGGTGTCAAGATCTCTAAATGTCAGAGCTGATTGGGTTGCGCGTTCGAAGGCTAGAGAGTCCCTTCCTGACGACTGGATTAATATTCTTGATCTAATTTCTTATCTTCTTTAAGAATGTAACCTGTTTCTGGTTTCTTTCGATTGGTGGAATAAAAGTTTATTTACCTTGTAAAAAAAAACTTCTATTACGGTGATTGGTGGGTTTTCCCCTTTGATGGGTTTCTTATTATCATGAAATATATGAACCACTTCTGTCTACTGCTCTTCGGTCGACGTCCATCAATTGCTGGATAAGGCTTGACAGTCACCAATCCATCAATCGTCGGATAAGGCTTGACAGTCACCAAAAAGGACATTTAAGTAATTACACAATACAATTAAATTGATTCAGTCCTAACCCAATATAACGGTCAACTGAAATATGTTATAGTATAAGCACAAAATTGAGGTGAAACATTGTAGAGGGGCATGTTTGATAACTTTGCAAAGTAGAGGGACAAAATATACCTACAACCCTATTAACTTTTAACTTAACTTTGTTATGGTATTAATATAGGGTAAATGCCAAGTTTGGTTACTGAGTTTACTATAATGTGTCATGTTTAGTCACTGTAAAAAATTAATATCAATTTTGGTCATTCAAATTAGTAAAACGAACCATGTTTAGTCACTCTCCGTTAACTTTATGTAATGTGGCAGTCAAGCCTGACAGTAAATCGTTAAATGTCTGATGTGATGATTAAAAAATTAATAAAAATAAATTTAATTCATTGAATATTTCCCTCATCAATAAAATAATAAACTAAAATAATTAAAACCAAAATAATCCCTTCCTTAGATAAATCACCACCACTGACGTCGAGAACTTCCCCGGATTCCCTGAAGGAATCATGGACCGCTATCGTAGTCAGTCCTTCCGATTTGGTACCTACCTCCTATCACGCCCAGCGGCTTGTTCCTGAAAATGGGGGCGGTGGCGTCGCACACCGCACACGTGGAGATCCCCCGTTCCAGAAAGTGTCCGACTCGGAGAAATGGAGAGCTATCGTCCCAGTAGGCTTCTCTTTTGCCTCCGCGTGCTGCTTATTATGGAGCTCCTCCACCGATGTTCCCTCATGTGTGAGAACGTCGGTGGGGAGCTGTAAATTGCCAATCAATTGAAAAACCCAGAATCGGGGGGGTGGGGGGAGAGAGAGAGAGAGAGAGAAATAGGGAACTGGCCTGGGGGTTTGCAACAGAGGACGAGGGAACAGGGTTGGAGACATGGAAAACTCCCGAGTAGCCTTGAATTGCAGAGAACATAGATGGGTAGTCTAGTAAATCGGCCTTCACGAGCTTCAGATTCGAGGAATCGTTTGGGAGCTGCTTCAAGTGGGCATATTTTTCAACCACCGCAACATTCAAATTTAAAATCCATTACTGATCAAGTTGAAGTAATTGAAGGAGATGTGTTAGATGAATCTATTTGGGGTTTTTTATGGTTGAAATTTACTTGGATCTTTGACAGTGCCTCAGACTAGATAGTTCTTGGAGAGGAGGAGATGAACAACTAGGGGTGTTCAAATGGTTACCATGGTTATAATCAAACCAAATAAGGCTAAATTCCATTAACCATGGAATACAATATCATAACCAAACCGTCCAAACTAACACAACAACCAAATTAACCAAACTAAAGTTTAATCGGTTTGGTTAATTGGTTAACCAGATTAACCAATATAAAATCACATTATCATTGATGATGAAAATTTTCCGGTTAATGCAACAATTCGCTTTTTATATAATGAATAAAACATAACAATCAACACGTAGTTATAGTTGACCCTTAACAAAAATACATGCAACTAAGACAATTATCTTACGATTAGTATAGAAGTATTCACCTAACAAAACTTTATGACAATGGTATTGGTTAATGAATTGTTGTGTTTGTGTAAATTGACTTAGTCTCTTAGCAATTATCATAGGCTGGAAATGACCTTCCTTTCAAGTTTTCATCCATCATAATGTATGAAATTTATCTAAATTAGGCGTCCATATGTTGTGATCTACACTTTATATATACAAATATACACTATATGAGCAATATTGAGCTTTATATTTTATATGAGTCTAAAAGGGATGAACGTTAACTCTTGAGTTGTTATGCAAAGTATTAAGTATGTGTATATAATATATGCTAGATATATGACTAATTAATTAACTGGTTAGGAGTGTCTGAAACCAAACCAAACCACCTAAACCAAATAAGCTAAAAACTTAAACCAAACCAAACCTATTATTCAAATTAACCAAACCAAATTATCCAAATAGTACCGGTTAAAACGGTTACCACGGTATCCAAACCGTTTGAACACCCCTATGAACAACCCACGAGCTTGTTTTTATTTATTTTTGTTTAATTTTTTAATTGTCACGTCAGACATTTAGCGATCAATTGTTAGATTTGACTGCCACATCAAATAACGGAGAATGATTAAATGCGGATCGTTTTACTAATTCGATTGACCAAAATTGATATTAATATTTTCCAGTGACTAAACATGACAAATTTAATAAACCCGATAAGCAAACTTGACATTTACCCAATTAATATTATGTACATTCCCAGCTCCAAGACGCGGACATTATTAATCAAATTGGGCCTTGCCGGGCCTGTTAAGCGGAGACTAAGTTCAGGTGTAGTCATTGGGCTTTCATTTGCGAGGATAATAGCTATCATTCAAATTAATCAAATTGGGCCTTGCCGGCCTGTCTCCACCGACCATCTTCCCATACAGCTAGGAGCTACCAATAATGTACTGCTCTCAAGTCTCTGACTCTGGAATCTCGGCTTCAATGGCGGGGATCAGAAAATATATTTAAAAAAGAGGAAAGTTAATAATTCCCCTGCCGCGTCTTCCTCAATCAATCATTCATTCTCCTCTTTGATTAATTCGAGACTTCTGAGAACTAGCCTCAGATCCCAAGTGTCAAGGCCATATTATATACCTAGAATTCTCCTTACCACTTTACACAATCGCATTTTTGTCTTCCAGTTGTCCAGAAAGGCATTTCGTACCGATCTCTTCTCCTTTCACCTCCGGCCGAAACAACAACAAGAAGGGAAAATGCCTCAAGGAGTTCTTGAAGTCCTTCTCGTCAGTGCAAAGGGCCTGGAGAACACTGATTTCCTCAGTAAGTCATATCTCTGGTTTATAATCCAAAGTCGCAGACTTTTCCCGATTTGGAGATATGGGTATTGGTTCATGTCGCTAGATATGTACATGGTTCTTGATGTTTTTGACGAGATCTTTGAAATCAATTTGGGCAGATGACATGGACCCTTACGTGATCCTGACTTGCCGCACCCATGAGCAGAAAAGCAGCGTCGCTTCAGGTACAATTTCCCAAATTTTGCAACGAATACTTGAAATGGCGATATGCCAGATTTGATAATGGTGAATTTGTTTTTTGGGTTGTTGCAGGAAAGGGGTGCGAGCCGGAGTGGAATGAGAATTTTGTGTTTACAGTATCAGAAGGAACCAGCGAGCTCTGCTTCAAAATCATGGACAGTGATGCTGGCACGGCCGATGATTTTGTAGGCGACGCCACGTGAGTTTCCTCCACCATAACTGCAGAACTACAGCACAAAAAGAAAACAGAACCCTCTGTTGCTTGACAATTCTTCTTATTAAATATGATGCATACTGAATTAAGAAATGCTATTTTGGGTTTCTGTATGTAGAATTCCATTAGATGCAGTGTTCGATGAAGGAAGTGTCCCACCAACATCATACAATGTGGTTAAGGATGGTGAATACAAAGGCTCCATCAGAGTTGGGCTCACCTTCAAAAGAGAGGTACTACTCTTAAACCAAACCAGAATGTTCTTTGTGCTGCAATTTTGTGTGTTAGGAGTCATCCAATTGTTGAGGGGGGATTTATCTTTTTATGTGTTGTAGGAACACCGAAGCCGCGGATTTGAAGAAGAAAGCTTTGGCGGGTGGAAGCAGTCTGAAGCATCATACTGAGAATGGATTTGAGAGTCATATAAGCTTTGGAGTCATGAATTTGCGGGGTTTCTGTGTTTTCTTTTTGGTGATGAATGTGTCTTCGTGTCAGTAAGAATTTGGTGTTTTAACTGCAGAATGTAGCATATGAAACATTTGTTTGCTTTCAGTTTACTGTATTTTGCCCTGTTCATGTTTGTTGCTAGTGAATTCTCTTTTTGTGCCATCCTAAATCTCATATTCAGAAGAGCAATGTAGGCACAAGGAATGAAGAAACATATTCTCATATAAGTTCCATGCATGGTCCAATGAAGTCTCAATCTATCAAAGAAACTTTCAGTACATTTTAGAGGGGAAGAAGTCTTGGCATCAGTCAATCTTTACTTGCCCTTTCTTGATTGATCTCCACTCGAACCCAGCTGTGGGTTGGCCATTCCCGAATTCATAATAATCCTTCTCAGGAGCTGTCTCAAAATGGACAGAAACATCAGAATCAAAGGACACATGGAACCCGAAATTTGGAAGCTCCTTGCACCTTTCCACATCTCTGTCAAACTCAATCAACTCCTTCTCCATGCTATTATAATAACCGAAGGGAGGGATGATCGCAGAAGGATCAGGCACATTCTCACATGCATATTCAAAGAAGGGATCCGACATTGCTTCCTCATAGAACTGCTTGGCTGTACGCCACCCAGGTTCCTCTATAACTTCATACTCATATCCCAGAACTTTCAGTGCAAACTGTATGTAATTCTTTGACAACATCTCCTTATGAAATCTCAGTGGTGGTGGTGCCACTCCACCATTCTTCTCATTAGGTTGTTGTTCCACATTCTCCTCAGTTTGCTTTTCTTCCACCTTGTCAATGTCCATCTCAGGAACCTGCAAGCTCTGTGCATATAACTTGGACCTCTGTCTGGCTGACCTACGACCTGTTTTCCTAGGAGGAGTGGGGTCTAGCAGAAGGGTATGCATCTCGGGCTGAATCTCAGCATGTCGTTCGGATGAACGACGTAATGAAGAAGAGGAAGAATTGATTGAATTGGTTACTGGTTGTTCCTTGTCACTTCGGTTGTTCCTTGTTGTCAGCATCTCTTCCATCAAGCCTTCGGTTCCCAAGGTGCTAATCATTATTACTTGGTCATGTTCCATTGCAACCAGGTCTTCTTCCATGGCTGTGGTCTCCCAAAGTTGGAGAGCTGGATTGTTAGTGATTTGTTGGGTGGATGATCCTTCTTCATCTTTGTAAACCAGGGGAAACCTCACGTTTCCTGTAACTGCAGAGTTATAGGTTTCTGCAAGCACATACACATTGTTTGACAATCGATCATTTCATGAACAAGATCGGTGTAAAGGAATTCGAATTCCGTACCTTCTGGTAGTAAAGGAAGGAGCTCTGGTTGCAGCAGTTTAGTTCCAGGTAATGCCTATTGCCATAAGGATGGAAACACATGGAAATATGAGATAATAGTTTTAACCATGCATTACTGTGACATATTGAAGCTTCGGCTTAGTAACAGTAAACAGGGGAAAGGGAAATGAAATAGGTAATTACCTGCTGGTTAGAGTTGTCACCATTATTCTCCCCGACAAGCTTGAGGTAAGAGAGTACCTTGGGTTTTGAATAAAACCTTTTCCCTGTTGCTAACTCTGTATAGCACTGCAATTACAAGTGCAACGAGATGAAGCTAAAGTTAGAAAGCGAAAAGCAAGCTTGTTATTTGAGAATTCATTTCTGATCGACGAATGAGTTGATTTCGAGTTAATAGAACATGAAGAATCGTAAAGAATCATCGTGCACTCATCTTTTATTGGAGAGAAATGTACAAAATTTTCTATTTGGCTTATTATAACAAAACTAGTTTTTTGGCCTGCGCTCCGCAGCGGTAATAAACTAATTATATTTGAAATTATATTAATTGATTTGATAATTTTTAATTAAAATTTTCAGTTTAAAAACCACCATAAACTTTGTGTTTGATTCATTAAGAAAGAATTATATTATAATTTAATAGTGATAAATAAGAAATAATATTAGTTCATAAGGTTTACGTAGTGTCTTAATCATTATGAAAGACTTAAGTGCATATTTGTTTGATTGATATGTAATAAATAATTATATCTTCATAAATTTTACGTAGTATCTTAACATTAGTAAGACATATGCAAATTTTTTATTTAATTGATTATCTCTCTATTCACGTAATATATTTTTAACTTACATTACTGTTATAGAATGTTGTTACATGTATATATAGATCATCTGTAAGGTGTGATCAAATAATAAAATCATGTGACGAAAAATACCAGATTTAATTAAGATGCAATGTAAAGTAAAATTTACTTGATGTTACGTAATACTTGCGTAATACAAATTGATGACATGGTGGATATTTTGCGAAAAATTGTCTCATTTAAATAAATATTTTCTAAAAGCTTATCTACAAAAAATTTGTGCAATGTCAATTGATGAGATAATCTCTCCATAAGTTTTACATAATGCATTTATAATGTACGTAACTATTATAGAATAATTAATTAATTAATTAAAACTGTAAGTAACTAAAAAGTAGAGACACTCATTAAAATATCACATTTGATTAAAATATTAAAAATAACTGAAGTGAATTTGATGGAAATGTACACGTGTAATCTTCTTTGAAATGTGGATATATGTAATTGATACCTAATATATTTGTTTAATTGATACATAAAATATATATCTCTCTATAATTACGTAAATATTTTGTAATGTGTGGTCTAATAATACAATCAAGTGACAAAAAATATCACATTTTATTAAAATATTAAAAATAACTAAAGTGGATTTGATGGAAATGCACACGTGGTAATCTTCTTTAAAATGTAGATATATGTAATTCATACCCAATATAATACATATTTGTTTAATTGATACATTAGAAATATCCATCTCTCCTTAAAATATACGTAATGCATTTGTAATTTATGTAAGTATGATAAAACAGTTTAATTGGTACCAATAAGTTTTACATAATGCATTTATAATGTACGTAACTATAGAACCGCGTTACGTAAATATTTCATGATGTGCGATTTAATAATGCAATCAAGTGACAATAATATCATATGTGATTAAATATTAAAAATAAAAATATATTTGCATGCCCTAAACAAAGGAAACTTTCGGCCAGCCTCTAATGATTTATGCCAAATTGAAGTAAGTACACATGTACGAAGGGAAAAATTACTTTTATGAACAGTAAAATTGTAGATGAGATTATCGTATGGAACAGTATCCCTACTTTTTAGTTAATTGCGGCTTTAATTAATTATTATTATATATATTATTATTAATAATTAATGGATTTGAAATTCACGAATTTCAATTTTCTTATCTAAGATTAGAATACCTTATAAGTGCTTCCGCTACTTGGCCCCTTCTGTACTGCTTTAGTTTCCGAAGTCCAATCAATAGGCAACCATGGAGGATGATCCGGGTCCGGATCCTATCAGTAACCGACCTATCAGTAACGGTCAGTAACCGTCCATCTGACCGTCCATCGCGCCATCTTCCCAACCGTCAGATCATGGCAATTAAATACACGCGGGGGCAAAAAGGTAATCACGCCTTCTCTCCTTCTGACAATTTGAATTGCAGACGTGATCGCGACAACCGTCCCGCCTTCTCTCCATTCTTCCTCCCGTTCCTCTATTCTCTCACCCAAATCGCAGCAAAAACTTCCAGAAAAAACTTCAAATCGAACGATTTCGCAAAGCTTTTCGAAGAATCATTCAACGAAACTCTTCGTCGAAAAACGAAGGGTTTCCAACTTCAACGAGTCTCAAAAATCGTTTTCGCACAAAATATCAAGGTAAAACCTCACTTCTTTCTTCGAAATCCATCCATAGAACAATAGAAACAGTATTTCAGTCACTCTTCATGTGAAAATTGTAGTAAAACTTGCTACATTACCGAATCGTTAGCATGCATTGCTGAACTGGTGTAGAATCTGTTGTGTTTTGCTTCGTTACCACATGGTATGGCGTGGTAAACTATGATTGCACGTTATAAAAAAGCAAAAAACTATGTTTTGCTTTGTTACCATATGGTAATGTGTGGTAAGCTATGGTTTCATGTTGTAAAAAAGCAAAAAAACCATAAGTGCTGATGTGTTTTAGTTTGTTACCATATGGTAATGTGTGGTAAGCTATGGTTTCATGTTGTAAAATAGCAAAAAAACAATAAGTCCTGCTGTGCTTTAGTTTGTTACCATATGGTAATGTGTGGTAACCTATGGTTTCACGTTGTAAAATAGCAAAAAATCATAAGTTCTTCTGTGTTTTAGTTTGTTACCATATGGTAATGTGTGGTAACCTATGGTTTCATGTTGTAAAATAGCAAAAAACCATAAGTTCTTCTGTGTTTTAGTTTGTTACCATATGGTAATGTGTGGTAACCTATGGTTTCATGTTGTAAAACAGCAAAAAACCATAAGTCCTGCTGTGTTTTAGTTTGTTACCATATGGTAATGTGTGGTAACCTATGGTTTCATGTTGTAAAAAAGCAAAAAACCATAAGTCCTGCTGTGTTTTACTTTGTTACCATATGGTAATGTGTGGTAAGCTATGGTTTCATGTTGTAAAAAAGCTAAAAAACAATAAGTGCTGCTGTGTTTTAGTTTGTTACCATATGTTAATGTGTGGTAAGATATGGTTTCATGTTGTAAAAAAGCAAAAAAATCATAAGTGCTGCTGTGTTTTAGTTTGTTACCATATGGTAATGTCTGGTAAGCTATGGTTTCATGTTGTAAAATAGCAAAAAAACAATAAGTCCTGCTGTGTTTTAGTTTGTTACCATATGGTAATGTGTGGTAACCTATGGTTTCATGCTATAAAAATGGAGGAAAACATACGTCCTGTTGTGTTTTACTTCGTTACCATATGGTAATATGTTATAAGACATGGTTTGATGTAATTACCATATGGTAAAATGAGATAAATATATGGTTTGATTTCGTATGGTAGGAAACCATTATCGTACCATATGGTATATTATGGTAAAAAGCATACTAACAGACTATTACTAATTTCTACATTCAGGTACACTATGGTAAAACCAAGACACAGTTTTCGCACAAGGTGCAGCCCAACAAGAATATCTGCAATTGCAAGGTCAATAACAGATGAACGGAAAGAGCAACTTGACATATTAGGCCTAGCAGGCTTAATATCAATCAAGCAGACAAAGATAAACAACCATTTTGCACTGTTCGTAATGAACAAATACGATCCAGAGAAAGAATCGTTCAAGTTACCTGACGGGACACACATGAAGATATCACCAATCGACTTTCATAGGGTATATGGTCTGCCGATGGGGGATAGGGAAGTTGTACCTCCCACGATTTCTTGGGATGACGCAGCAGATTATGCAGTAGAAACCCTACTCGAAGTAGATGGAACATCCACTCCAAGGGTAAAGCTAAGTCAGGTAGAAAAAGATCTTCCTACAACCAAACTGACTAAGAGATGGATGCAATTGTTCTTTCTGCTGGTCACCGGAGGCTTGCTGTGTCCAACTTCAGCACCTATGGCTGAACTCAACATGCTTGAGTACTTGAAGACCGAAGAACTGAAACATTTCACCAGCTACAACTGGTGCAAATACTTCTTCAAACACATGAATGAAGGATTGAAATCACCAAAGCTCTATGTCAGTGCAGATCTTCACTTCCTTACAGTAAGTCTCCATTCCCTTGGCCATTTCAACCTTGTTACTCATATATTTTATATATAAATGATACTCTTTGAAAAAAACTAATACAACTATCTGCATAAAAAGGTATGCTTCATGTACAAACTGGACGAAATGGCATTCTCAACCCAGCTTCGAACACCAACAGTAAGCTACTATGATGATAACAATGTTGATAGCAACTTTGAGAACATTAAGAGCTACTACAATGGAAAAGAGTTGAACGAGATCGAAAAGCTTGCCAACATTAATGACGATGAGGCTGATGGTGCAGCTGATGAGGAAGAGGAGAATGAGCCAGTCTATGAATCACCGAAAAGACAAAGAAACAAAAGTCCAGACCAGTCATCATCACTGAACTTTGATTTGAAGAATATCAGAACAGTCAACCAAGTAAGTACAAATTATCTATATTACAGTTGTCCAATTAATACTAAGCGTAAGTCCTTTTGTGTTTTAGTTTGTTACCATATGGTAAGGTGTGGTAAGCTATGGTTTCATGTTATAAAAATGGAGCAAAACATAAGCCCCCGTTGTGGTTTACTTCGTTACCATATGGTAATATGTGGTAAGCAAATGGTTTCATGTTATAAAAATGGAGGAAACCATAA